TTTGATAACATGGGTCCTACAACGTGAACAGGTTTACACTTACTGTGTCCCTGTAAACCAAATGGCTTAAAAAACTGGTGATTTTGAAATCCAAAAATGCCTGTAGTTTTGTGTGAGGGTGATTATAGACAATACAGTTTGTACAGAAGAAAAACCATTACCCTGTGCAGAGTCCCCGTAAACCACCATATGCAAGACTTTTTTTGGGGGGAAGTCGTGGCCTAATGGTTAGAGAGTCGAACTTGTAACGTTCACTGCTGTGTGTGTGCACTTTGGATGGGTAAATGCAGAGAACTAATTCCGAGTATGGGTCACCATACTTGGCCACATGTCAGTTCACTCACTTTATGTGTGTGTGTTGGTTTGTGTTCGCAGTAAAATACAGAGCACTGATTCCGAGTATGGGTTACTTGGCTAGATGTCACATGATGATTAACTCCAAACCCTTTCTGTTGCTAAAACTTATGAAAACTTCAAATGTCTGTTTGTTGAGGAGAAAATAAGAGACTTCAAACAAGTCTCTTAAAGTCAAAATAAGAGACTCTAAAAAAGTGAAGTCTCTCAGAAAGTGGAAGTAGGCTATTGTTTAGACACAGACACATCTCAATTCCCTTCGCATTTCAAGGAATTCTACCTCAAGGATTTTTGGTAACACTTTATTTTAAAGTGTCCTTGTTACACATATTACATGTACTTACTATTATAGTAACAATAAATTATTCATAATTACATGCAAGTAACCAAAGCCAACCCCTAACCCTAACCATATAGTAAGTACATGTAGTTAAAGGGATAGTTCACCCAAAAATGTGTTAGATGATCGAAGGTCTTACGGGTTTGGAACAACATGAGGGTGAGTAATTAATGACAGAATTTTCATTTTTGGGTGAACTATCCCTTTAATGAACATTACTCAGTAATTAAAGTAGTTCTGAGGTAATGTAACAGTGAAAGTGTTTTTTCCAGCATATTAATTTGAACACACTCTCAAAACAAAGGTACAGAAGCTGTTACTGGGGCAGTACCCTTTCAAAAGCTACTAATATGTAGGTTTAAGGTGCTAAAATGCACCATTCTGAGGTAAATAAGGTACAAAGGACGGTATTCGGGTACCATCACAGTGAGAGCTTTTGCACTTTTTTTCTTTCCTGAGAGTGTAATAAATACCACCAGGCCAAAGAATGGTAATGAATCACATATTTTATTAAAAGCCACTTAATAAAAATCTTTCTTCAGTATTTCATCAGAACACATTTTTTCAAAAAAAATTGTAACACTTGATGCCAGTGCTGGGGAAAGTTACTTTTAAAAGTGATGCATTACAATGTTGCATTACTCCCTAAAAAAGTAACTAATTATGTTACTTAGTTACTTTTTATGGAAAGTAATGCGTTGTTTCTTTTGAGTTACTTTTTTAAATCTGGGCAGGGCTTGCTTGTTTGTTTTTGATATATAAAAAGTTATTCTTTTTCAAAAGTAAAAGTTCTTTCACAACAGAAGTGAAATGAATAAGCCTCAGGCTGAAGGAAAAGTACATTCACGTCTGTACAGTAGAGAACGAAACACATGAAGAATATGACGCAGGAGAAGAAAGTCCAACACTATTCCGCAATAACACAAATAAATGTGTCATTTTTGCTTATTAGTATGGTTGAATTGGATCATCGAAGGTCAGTAGCAAAGATATTTATTGGTTAATAAAATAGGATTAAAGTATATTTGTGTTATTTAACGTATTTAATTAATGCACGTTTGCGTCATATTCTGAGTTTGCATTTGACTTATTTTATTATATTTGATTGTGAGGAACACTGAATGTGTTTGTGTGCAGCGAGATGAGTGAACACATGTTGATATTGAGTCTAGAACTACAGTAAGATCATGTTCACACACAACGCTCTGCACTTACTCCTGATTTCTGTCACCATGGCAACACCAGAGCTGTCACTCAACACATGGAAACAAAGTAACTGGCGTTACTTATTTGAAAAAAGTAACTCAGATATTTAAATCTTTATTAAAAATTACTGCGTTACTTTACTAGTTACTTAAAAAAATCTGATTACGTAACTTGCGTCACTTGTAATGTGTTACCCCAACACTGCTTGATGCAAATACTAACAGTGAGTTTATTTAAAGATGTTAATGAAATCATTCATTTCTGTATCATTGGCATATTGAAAATATGAGCGATATGCATGCGTTATATGTGCACCTTTGCAACAGCTTCAGCTTCTGCATTCTCCTACTTCACATACAGTACATCATTAACAAAACTGTCAGAAAACAAAAGAAAGACGACTGAACTCAGGAGAGTGTGAATGTAAGCCTGTGTTTGCTCTATGCGATCAGTGTGGAGGAGCATTCAGAAGACCCGCTCTCAGGTGACTGTGGAGAGCAGGTTATGTATTGGCTGAAGCACGATGGAAGCTGCTCCTTTAGGACCGTAAGCACTGCTCTTCTGCACTTCTGTCCCGCACAGGTGTAGATGATGGGATTGAGGCAGCAGTGGATTAATGCCATCGCTTTCACCCACTGCATGGCAAGAGCCAGACCATTAAACCACTCACAAGAAAACATGTAGCCCTTCGTCTGCAGGAACACGAGGAACGTGACGATGTTGTATGGAGTCCAGAAGAAGAAATAAACAGCTGGCACAGCCAGGAGGAGTCTGACGATGCTGTGGTTTTCTTCTGATTGAACGCTGAGGATCCGGCAAAAGCAGAAGCTCGTGATAATCAGAGGCAGAATCAAGCTCAGGACGTTCAGGTACGTAAACGACATCCAGGCTGCAGCTTCAGGAAACTCAGATCCGCAGGACGCTTTGATGCTCTCTCTCACTTTGGCAAAAACAATATCAGGGAGGGACACAAACAGGCTGAGCATCCACACAAATAAGACCAGAGCCATTTGTGCAGGCCGTTTTCTGGAACAGATGCTGTGTTTGTAGACGATGATGACGTAGCGATCCAGTGTCATCAGGACCATGAAGAAGACTCTGCCGTAGAGACCCGTCATGAAGAGACCGGTTACAGTGTGACACACGAACGAGCCAAAAACCCACTTGTCCACGGCACTGTGAGCCCAGACCGGGAGCGAGGCGAGGGAGAACAGGTCAGAGACGGCTAGATTGAGCAAACACACGTCTGTCAGACTGCTTCTGTGACGGTGTCTGATCAGGACCCACAGGACCAGAGCGTTTCCCAGCAAACCCACCGTGAAGACTGTGCTGTACAGGACGGGAAAGAGAAGCCCGCTGAAGGCCGGTGTGTTCACATCAGCACACACTGATCCAGTCTCATCATGTAAGTCATAGTAGTCACTGTAGTCTGCTGTTGGAGCTTACAGGACACACACACAACACACTGTTAGCAAGATCATGTTCACACACAACGCTCTGCACTTACTCCTGATTTCTGTCACCATGGCAACACCAGAGCTGTCACTCAACACATGGAAACAAAGTAACTGGCGTTACTTATTTGAAAAAAGTAACTCAGATATTTAAATCTTTATTAAAAATTACTGCGTTACTTTACTAGTTACTTAAAAAATCTGATTACGTAACTTGCGTCACTTGTAATGTGTTACCCCAACACTGCTTGATGCAAATACTAACAGTGAGTTTATTTAAAGATGTTAATGAAATCATTCATTTCTGTATCATTGGCATATTGAAAATATGAGCGATATGCATGCGTTATATGTGCACCTTTGCAACAGCTTCAGCTTCTGCATTCTCCTACTTCACATACAGTACATCATTAACAAAACTGTCAGAAAACAAAGCAAAGACAACTGCACTCAGTACGTGTTTATTAAAAAGTGAACTCCGGGAGAGTGAGAATATGAGCCTCTGTCTGGAGGAAGGTGTTTATGCGATCAGTGTGGAGGAGCATTCAGAAGACCCGCTCTCAGGTGACTGTGGAGAGCAGGTTATGTATTGGCTGAAGCACGATGGAAGCTGCTCCTTTAGGACCGTAAGCACTGCTCTTCTGCACTTCTGTCCCGCACAGGTGTAGATGATGGGATTGAGGCAGCAGTGGATTAATGCGATCGCTTTCACCCACTGCATGGCAAGAGCCAGACCATTAAACCACTCACAAGAAAACATGTAGCCCTTCGTCTGCAGGAACACGAGGAACGTGACGATGTTGTATGGAGTCCAGAAGAAGAAATAAACAGCTGGCACAGCCAGGAGGAGTCTGACGATGCTGTGGTTTTCTTCTGATTGAACGCTGAGGATCCGGCAAAAGCAGAAGCTCGTGATAATCAGAGGCAGAATCAAGCTCAGGACATTCAGGTACGTAAACGACATCCAGGCTGCAGCTTCAGGAAACTCAGATCCGCAGGACGCTTTGATGCTCTCTCTCACTTTGGCAAAAACAATATCAGGGAGGGACACAAACAGGCTGAGCATCCACACAAATAAGACCAGAGCCATTTGTGCAGGCCGTTTTCTGGAACAGATGCTGTGTTTGTAGACGATGATGACGTAGCGATCCAGTGTCATCAGGACCATGAAGAAGACTCTGCCGTAGAGACCCGTCATGAAGAGACCGGTTACAGTGTGACACACGAACGAGCCAAAAACCCACTTGTCCACGGCACTGTGAGCCCAGACCGGGAGCGAGGCGAGGGAGAACAGGTCAGAGACGGCTAGATTGAGCAAACACACGTCTGTCAGACTGCTTCTGTGACGGTGTCTGATCAGGACCCACAGGACCAGAGCGTTTCCCAGCAAACCCACCGTGAAGACTGTGCTGTACAGGACGGGAAAGAGAAGCCCGCTGAAGGCCGGTGTGTTCACATCAGCACACACTGATCCAGTCTCATCATGTAAGTCATAGTAGTCCCTGTAGTCTGCTGTTGGAGCTTACAGGACACACACACAACACACTGTTAGCTCATGCAATATAATATAGGCCTACTTATAATATATTTACAATGTGCAATGAATCCCTGCAAGAGCGTGGAAACGACTCAAATAAAGGAAATTTGTCCTTCTTGAATGAATGAATGAGTGAGTGGAGGAATAATACACTCATACACAAACTGTAGTAAACCAAGAGTGTATTATACATACAGTACAACACTAGCTGTGAGCACAAACAAACCAGCAGCATGCATTAAAGTGTGTGTGTGTGTGTGTGTGTGTGTGTGTGTGTGTGTGTGTGAGAGAGTGTG